ACTACCAAATATAATATGATATCCAGGTTGTTAGGCAAAGATGAGTATATTTTATTTATTTGTCTTTTTTACATTTATATATCACTTCTACTAACTCTTTCTATGATTATATTTTTAATGCAAATATTTAATCTATTTATCTGTGCTTATGCTTTGATCATGACATTATTATATAATTACCTAATACTTGTTCAATAGTCAGGTTATGGTTTACATTTGTCATAATTATCATAATCGTTACAATCATTGCTATAATCATCATGATTATTATGATCATCACAATCATTATACAGATTACATTCATTATACGAATCACAATCATTGCACAAATCATGCTTGAGATAATCTATTTCTCTACAATATACCCTTATTTGATTCACATTGTTCTTGATCTTCTTTGATAAATACCACAATATCACTAAACCACTCCTTATCTTGATAGCTATCAGATACTTTCAGAATTTCTCTATTTTCTAAAAGAACTAGATTATAGACTTTTATATAAAAGTTTTTACTTTCTGAATCTTGTAAAGACATATCAAAAAGATATAAGTACTAGAATTAGTTGAAACAACTCTTCAATATAGTTTGAGTATATCTTATTTAAAATTTTTAAAGAGTTTCCTTTTGCTTCAATTGCATCCAGCCTCAACTCTAATAATATTTTGCCAAACTCTTTAGTTTTATTATAAATGAATTTGGTTATTATAAAAGCTAATTTCTTATACTTCACCTTTAAGTATACAGTCAACCCTCTCTAAGTGCATAATGTCAAGACTATAGTAAAAAATTTTAAAAATATGCATTTAGAGAGGTTATGCATTTAGGAAGATAAAAATCTATAAGTATTATATTAGTTGGGCTCAAGAAAAGACATGCATTTAAGGAGATTTTTTATATATATACATTTAGAGAGGTTGTATTTAGGAAGGTCTGACTGTAATTATATAACAATTATTATAATTTTAAATAATTTAATTAATTTCTTATCTAGATATTTAATAATTTGAATCAACTAGCTTTTTTATAAAAGACCAATTTGTTCGAATTATTAATATCTTTATTCTTACTATATTTATCAACTAGCTCATTATATTTTTTCTATTTGTAGACCTTATATGGATTCTTTATATATATTTTATAAAGCATTTTATAGATTTTTGTTGATAAACCATTCAATATATCATATTTTCTAATAGTTGGAATTACATAGTAATACCAACTGTATAATTTGAGAAATTTGCAGATAATAGTAAATATATTCATTTAAATTCATTACACTAGTCAATAATTAGAGTCTATATTAAATATCTATTATTATTTAAACAAATTTTTAGTTCAATTAACAACTATTACAGTAATAATAAAAATATCCAGGGTGGCCTCCAAAGTAATATCACATGATGAATCTTTATTAATTAAAAAATAATAATATACAATTGTTAGAATATATAAGCAATTTACTATTGTTGAAGTTTAGCTACAGCTGCAGTATTCATTATATAACCAGTATTTTAGAAAAGCCAGTCTGGCTATTTCGTAACAATATCTCAAAATTTTTTATATCTGCTTTGGTAAATGATTCATTAGATATATTTTGCTAAATTTGATATATAACTTACAAAGCTTGTTGCAAGTTATTTGATCCTATTTATCAAAGATATCGTCAATAGAAAAAGTACAATATTTATTATATTTTGATAGTTAGCAGCAGTCATAACTTTTAAGTGGCCTAGTTTATTAAATATTTTTAACTCAAGAAATCATAGAATCTGACAAAGACAGTTATCAAAGCTTATTCTATTCCTCTAACTTTCTTTAAAATATCTTTGGTAAAATCAAATTGATGCTTAAACAGACCAAGATCAATATGATGTATATAATCAAGAACACATATTTAAATTTTTTTGAAATTATAGTTTTAAATGCTTATTTATTTTTTTTAAAAAAAAGATTGTGACAAGATAAATTAGAGATTATAGAACAAAAAAAAAATACAGAAATTTTCAAAAAGCATTTTCATTATTATATGAAGATGCCCACAGCAAAACAAGCCATTGGGCAAAAAAAAAATTTTTTTTAAAAACTCAATTTCTCGAAGAATTAGAGTAATAGGAATTCAATTTTTATAAAATTACAAAATCAAAATTTTTTGCCCAATAGTTTGTTTTGCTATGGGGGTTCCCATATACAAAAAACTCTTTTCCATATTTTTCATTAAGAATCTGCTACATATTTTTTGGAGTTCTAAGAGCTATTTGTTCTAAAGTAAGGTTCATATTGTTTAGATCATTTTGTAAAACTATATAGTTATAATATAGCATCTTATTGCTATACACTTTATATGTTGAAGTTATTTTATTTGCTTTAAGCATATCAGCAAGAAAGACTGAAATTCATGCAGCAAAAGCTACTAGTCATCTTTGAACTCCAAAATATAGCTCATCTTTTTTTTTTTTTAATATCAAAGTGACCTTATGGTTGGTTGTTTTTATTAGTTTATATGCTAAGCTGATCGAGTCAGCTACTACTTATTTGGTACATAGTTTTAGAGAGTACAACTAGCCATATATACAATTTTTAATTGCCTATTTAAATAGTCCACCCAAGGGTTCTATACTAGATGCCATACCTATAATTCAACTAGGAGATTATCTATTTAAATCCTCTGTACTACCACATCTTTATAAGAAACCAATACTTGCCATAAGAAGCTTCTTGATCTAGGTTAATTTATTCTTGAAGTAAACTTGCTAGAGTTTTTCATACCTACAATTTGACTAACCTAGACTTCAGTAACTTACGTTAAGTCTAAGAACAGCAACTTGCGAGCTAAAGCCGCTATCATTACCTATTTCTGCTCTTGTAAAGTTCACCCAGACTCCAGTACCCACTTTACAAACTATATTATACTTCCTAAATTTTCTAAACTACCAATCCAGATAGCCTAGAAGGGCTGTGACCTGCTTCTGGTCCCACAGTTGGAGTTTTTTCCTCCAGTTACTCTTCTGATAGCCTGGTTGGTAGAGTGCTTTGCCAAATACTTCGGTTCTATTTAGTTAATTCGCTTTCCTAACTATAATTCTTTACATAGTACTATCAAAGATCTGTGCTACCTCTCTACTTGGATCTTGCTAAGTGGGCATCTAATCTTTCTAATTTTTTGGATTACTACAATCTGAGAACTTTTTTTGTATAACTTATACATTGCACAAATACTCATGATCTTCTAATCTTGTTGATGCTACCAAGGTTACAAAAATCCTATTCTAACTGATCGACAAAACATAGTAGTATTATATAGATAGAATTTTCAAAATTTATTGCCAGTGAGTTTCAAACCCTTATCTATCCAACATATCACTTGGAGGTGTGACAACTTAACCACTTCACTAAGTTACCACACCCCACCCATCTAGTTTTTTAGCAAAGAGCTAAACATAATCTTTAAAAACTTGTGATATATTTTATATTGTGAGTTTTAAAACTTATCAGTAGTATTAACTATCCCTTAAACCGTCTAGCGGACAAATTTGTCCGCTAAAATAATTTTTAAAAGGTTTTTTAAAATTTCTCAAAAATTATTTAAGCTTGCCCCCC